ATTACCCTATTGTGGTGGCTGGCAATCCAATTAATATGTCATTATTTACCTATTGATTACGCTCCCATTTTTATTTGACTCATATTATTCTGGCTGGCTATCCTCTCCATAATTAGTGGCAATCCTTTCCATATAATTACTATTTATATTTAACTTATATTATGCTGGCTAAATAATGAAAAAAATATATTTCCATAAAATAAAATATGTCACCACTTATCTAAATAATTACTTACTCAATAATTATTTATCCTCTCCATATAATTAGTTCCGTATTGATTATAGAAATTATAGAAATTTAAATTATTATTAATTAGTGAATTTTTGGTATCATTTTCCTTTTTAGTTAATTTGGTTTCCTTTTCTATGTTTTTTACTGTTAACAAATTATTAGTATTAATCTCCTTTTATATTTTCCTTTTTAAGCTAATAATTTATATCCAAAATTATTGTACATTTATTTTAGTTTCATTTCCTTTTCTATTTTTCCTACTTTTACTCCTAACAAATTATTAGTATTACTCTCCTTTTATATTTTCATTTTTTACTGCTAATTAACCTTATTATTACTATCATTATTATTATTATTATTATTATTATTATTATTAACTGAATCCCGTTTTCATTTCATTTTTTTCTACTGCTAATATTATTATTATTATTATTATTATTATTATTATTATTATTATTATTATAGTAATAATAATTCGTTATTATAGTATAGTATTTTAAATTAAATTATTTAAATTAAATCACCCTATATATTTAAATAGATTACCATAAAGTTACCATAATAATTACACAAAATAATGAAAGAAAAATTATGAGAATAGTTACCCTTAATAAAAATTAGGAAATTATATTAAAAAATAATCTATATATTATGGTAAGTATAATCTATTTTGTGCCAATCATATTATATATTAAGTATAAAAATATATATGTATGTAAATTACCATAATAATTACACCAGAAAAGGTGACAATACATAATTATTAGGCAATAATATTAATAATTAATTATTAAGGCAGGTAAAATTGATTTTGTACTAATAATATTATACATTAATTACTAATAATATTGTACTAAAAGCAGTGAGTCTATATAGTACAACTCCTTTCTTAAAAGTTAAAAAGGACAACTCCGAAAGCATTGGGTGGCTGCTAACTGTCAATCACCCTGCTTTTATTTTTTTTATTTATTTATTCTAGGAAACCTTAAAAAAAAAAAACTTGTACCAATAATTTTACTCTAATCATCCAACCATGATATACGACATAGTACAATGTGGGGGAACCGAAATAGATTTAAGATGACTGCATTCTTTGTATTTAACAAACTATAGCATGGCATCATACATCAGTCGTGTACTAAATTAAAAAAGAAAAAGAAAATATCAAGATGGTCACAATAGCAAAAGCACTCAAAGGATAGGGAGCTACACAATCCTTATTTGTCTTGCATGGCAAATCATTCTTCTTCTTTGCTTCATCACCACTCCAAATACCTACAATCATTATATCAACTCACAATATTAGAGTTTTCACACATCTAATAAACATGTATGTTCTCTCTTATATATTTTTAATGTAGACTCTTAAAATATATATATCATTGTGAAGTTGAAGATCTGATTTTACCGTCGTTATTATTCTCGATCGTATCTCTACAATCTTTCATAAAAACTAAACCATTAGGGTTCTATTACCAAGGCTCTTCCTCCTCAATTTTCTTTTGTTGAAGCAGAGCATCCTTACGTATCTTCAAGCTCATACCAGAGATATAACCTGCAAAACCTATTGAAGTACTGGAGAATATAGTTAGAAAAATATAAAAAAAAAAAAATCATACGAAAAGAAAGCAGAAAAATAAGTCTGAGATTCTTTGATTGATGGGGGAGGCTAGAGATTAGAAGAATTATAAGTTTGTATTTATAGGTAGAAAATACTAATTCAAAAGGAAAGAATAATAATTTATTTATTTAAGGTAATGTTGAGGTAATAACATTATTATTATTATTATAGATTATTATTATTATTATTATTATTATTATTATTATTATTATTATTATTATTATTATTATTACAAAAATGCCACTAAGCTTTGGGGGGAAAACTTGGTAGGAGGATTTTACTTTTATATATATATAGATATAGATATATAGATTATAGATTATTATTATTATTATTATTACAAAAATGCCACTAAGTTTTGGGGGGAAAACTTGGTAGGAGAATTTTACTTTTATATATATATAGATTATTATTATTATTATTATTATTATTATTATTATTATTATTACAAAAATGCCACTAAGCTTTGGGGGGAAAACTTGGTAGGAGGATTTTACTTTTATATATATATAGATATAGATATATAGATTATAGATTATTATTATTATTATTATTACAAAAATGCCACTAAGTTTTGGGGGGAAAACTTGGTAGGAGGATTTTACTTTATATATATATAGATATAGATATAGATATAGATTATTATTATTATTATTATTATTATTATTATTATTATTATTACAAAAATGCCACTAAGTTTTGAGGGGAAAACTTGGTAGGAGGATTTTACTTTTATATATATATAGATATAGATTATTATTATTATTACAAAAATGCCACTAAGTTTTGAGGGGAAAACTTGGTATGAGGATTTTACTTTTATATATATATAGATTATTATTATTATTATTATTATTATTATTATTATTATTATTATTATTATTATTATTATTACAAAAATGCCACTAAGCTTTGGGGGGAAAACTTGGTAGGAAGATTTTACTTTTATATATATATAGATATAGATATATAGATATAGATATATAGATTATAGATTATTATTATTATTATTATTATTATTATTATTATTATTATTATTATTATTATTATTATTATTATTACAAAAATGCCACTAAGTTTTGGGGGGAAAACTTGGTAGGAGGATTTTACTTTTATATATATATATAGATTAGTTTTTTGTTACAACTTATTATTTCAACTAGTATTTTTTATGCGCGATGCGCAAAAAATAGGTGCCCAATATTAATACATTATATTAAAATTTTAAATTTATTTAGATTTTAGATATTTAAATTATTTTAAATAATAATAATAATAATAATAATAATAATAATAATAATAATAATAATAATAATAATAATAATGTAAATCATTTTTATAAATTTGATATTTATATTTATGTAATAATTAACATATAACTCAAATATTTAATGAGTTAATACCCAAAATCGTCCTCGATTATAGTGGTTTTTCTCAATTTTGTCCTAAACGACTTTGGTGACTTAATATCGTCACAGACTTTTGTGTTTCACTCAATTTAGTCCTCCATTTGTTATTTCGTCAAATTGATGTTAAATTAAGGGACAATTCAGTAATGTCAATATTGATCTCTCTTTACTTTCAACTTGTGAAGTGCGAAATTCCTCTTTCTTGTACGAATTACATCCAGAATTACTCCCGGACCTGCAAATCAAATTTTATATTCACAGTTTTAGGAGTAATTCGTAAAAAAAAAAAAAGGATTTCGCAGTTCACATGTCTATGAGTAAAGAGATGCTAATATTAAAATTACTGAATTGTCTATTTATTTAACACCAAATGGACAGAATAACAAATGAGGGACTAAATTGAGCAAAAACACAAAAGTCTAGGACTAAATTGAGCGAAACACAAAAGTCTGGGACGATATTAAGTCACCAAAGTCGTTTAGGACGAAATTGAGAAAAACCACTATAGTCGAGGATGATTTTGGGTATTAACTCAATATTTAATGTGTATATATTATTATTAATGAAGAAGATAAGAAAATATATGGTGGATGCATGTGCATGGTAACAATAGTGGAAAAGATAACGGAAGTTATAACGGTAGGGGTATGTTTGTCCAAAATATTTTAATGTACAACCTTTATAGCATAATGTACAAAAAAAACTTAACAGAAAAAACGGACATAAATCAGGGGTATAACTTTCATTCACACTTATTATGTTTTTAGATTAGAAATGTTAAAATTCAAAAAGTTCTTCAAAGTAATTTTTTCGATGAGCTTTTGAAAGTCATTTTGCATGCATCTATCAACTAATAACTAATTTACCAAATATTTTTCTATAATTAACTAATGCTATCAACTAGTCAAACTCACTAACCGCTATTTACTAAACAGGCCATTATCATTCACCACCCAGCTAGCTTCCGCGGCCTGGTGCTCAAGAATGAACTACTTGTGGGAGGTTGTGAATTTAATGCATGCAATATCTTGTTTAATTTGCTGGTTACATTGCAGGTAAACAGCAGCCATCCTTAGCTTAGCTTTAAGTTAAGGTTGTCTTTCCTCCTTGCGCTGTTAGTTAGTTGTATTAGGTTCCACCAATTAATGTCTTAATTTTTTTTTTTTTTCTGCAATGCAATTTAATTGGACAGCTTCTCCCAACTGTATTTAACAGCAAATGTCGCGAGCACCCTTTGAATGCCTGCCTTCTGCAACAGGGAAGCATTCACGTGGGAAACTAATAATAAGCTTTATATTTTCTATTAATTGATGATGATGAAGAACGTAACTGAATTGCTGCAATAATAACAGCTTCTAGTAAATATACCATAATCTGCACGAACCTTCTTGACATTGACAATTCAACTATTCTTATCCCCATACATACATACATATATATAATATATATGCCCATAATCAAGTGAAAACTAACTTTAACTTGCGAACTTGTGAAGGAAGCACCGTACTTACTACATGATTGCACTGCACCGGAGCCGTAGCAGTGCAATTATGTAGTAGCTGTGGTGCAATCCTTCACAAATTCGCAGGTTAAGGTTGGTTCTCACCTGATTAGAAATCTATATATATATATAGCTTTGTGCAATTATTTCATCTTTATGATTTTGTGCTAGTAATTATTCTGCAGTAGTGTATATGTAATCTCCACATAGGCTTTGCTCATTGATGGGCAGAAAAAAAAAAAAAACTAAAAAAAAACTTGAGTTGTTCTGATCTTGTGCTCTCTATCAACTGCAACATCCTTTTCATGTTCATATTTAAATCCCCACAGGCTGTGTCAGGACATGTTTGTGGATGTTTCTTTGTCATTGGTCTTTTGCCCATACCCAAATGCATGCATAAATGAATTGTATATGCTCTGAACACTTTGCCCCAAAAAAGTTTCTTAAGAACACCTTTAAAGACATAGCTAGTGCCCCTGCATACATGATCTGTGGCTATAACCTTTAGTATGGGAGAATTGGAGATTTCGTCGAATCTCAAAATGGATCAGCAGCCTTCAAATTCTACAGATAGAAAGGAAATGGTTTCATTTTTTGGGCTGTTTTCAGCTGCTGATACAGTTGACTACTTTTTTATGGTGTTTGGCAGCATTGGAGCTTGTATTCATGGGGCAGCACTTCCTGTATTCTTTGTGCTGTTTGGGCGTATGATTGATTCCCTGGGACATCTCTCATCAGATTCTCATAGATTGTCCTCTCAGGTGTCCAAGGTACAATGTTTTTTTTCATCTGTTTCATGTAACACATCCTAAGTCCTAACTACATTGGGTTAGCTAAGGTATAAAAAATGTTTTTTTTTTTTTTTTTTTCTAGTTGGATTGGCTCTCACATTTTATTATTTCTTCCACTGCAGCAAGCTCTGTACTTGGTTTATCTTGGATCGATCATATTCATATCAGCATGGATTGGTAAGTTCCATTCCTTTAATCTTTCCAGCATCGAGAATCGAGATTCAAGGCCATCGTTCTTTAATTTTTTCATTATTGGTCTCCAGGTGTGGCATTCTGGACACAAACTGGGGAAAGGCAAACAGCTCGTTTGCGATTAAGATATCTGCAATCAGTACTAAGGAAGAAGATTGAGTTCTTTGACACTGATACGAGAGCTAAAGACATAATTTTCCACATCTCCAGTGATGCCATACTGGTCCAGGATGCAATAGGTGACAAGGTGAGAATATATAGATATATATTCAATTATTATACATGTTGAATTCTTTGAAGTATGTATCTAATGCATTGTTCATCTGTTCTGTTATTTTAATTCAGATAGGTCACACCATACGCTACATTTCCCAGTTTCTTGTGGGATTTGCAGTGGGATTCATTTCTGTATGGAAGCTTACACTTGTCACTTTGGCCGTCGTTCCTTTGATAGCTGTTGCAGGAGGGACTTACACACTGATCATGTCGAACTTGTCTCAGAAAGGTGAGGCTGCTTATGCTGAGGCAGGAAAGGTTGCTGAAGAGGTAAAACCCATCTTGCATTTCTCTATTAACACACAGAAAGCTGTGTTAAGAGTCCACATTGATAAAATAAGAGAAAACATATGGGTTCATAAAGCCATGTGTTAGACTAGCTTAGTTTATAACATGGTATCAGAGCTTATTTTCGTAGCCCGAAGCTGAGATTATAACATTTTCATTTTTAATCTTTGGATTCGATCAGGCCATTTCACAGGTTCGAACTGTATACTCGTTTGTTGGAGAGAAGAAAGCGGTTGAATCATATTCTAAGTCGCTTAATAATGCTCTTGTGCTGGGAAAAAAGAGTGGATTGGCTAAAGGGGTTGGAGTTGGATTCACTTATGGCCTTCTGTTTTGTGCTTGGGCTTTACTTCTCTGGTATGCCAGCATTCTGGTCAGGCATAAGGACACGAATGGTGGAAAGGCGTTTACGACAATCATAAATGTCATTTTCAGTGGATTGTAAGTGCCTTTAGAATCTGTGGGAAACTGGCTCTTCTTGTCTGTAACTGAAAAACTAAAATGTTTTTCTTCTCTTTAGTGCTCTTGGACAGGCTGCTCCGAACCTTGCTGCCATTTCTAAAGGCCGCGCAGCTGCTACAAACATCTTGAGCATGATAAGGGATGGTTTCGACAGTTCTGAAAGGTCAGAAAAGGGTAAAAAACTTGCAAAAGTGGATGGGAAAATCGAGTTTTGTCAGGTCTGCTTTGCTTATCCTTCTCGACCGAATATGATATTCGATGGCCTTAGCTTTTCTGTATTGGCTGGAAAGAGGTTTGCTTTTGTTGGCCCTAGTGGATCAGGAAAGAGCACAGTAATCTCCTTGATCCAGAGATTTTATGACCCAACTTCAGGTATACATACAATCCTTTATGCATAAGTTCTTGTTTAAATTTCGATTTCCATAAGATTTTTTTGGGACTATACTATACTAGGAAGTATATTACTGGATGGACATGACCTCAAGAATCTTGAGTTAAAATGGTGGAGAGAGCAAATCGGAATGGTGAGTCAAGAACCAGCACTTTTTGCAGCCACCATAGCTGAGAACATTTTGTTTGGCAAAGAGGGTGCTACCATGGACCAAGTAATCAAAGCTTCTGAAGCTGCAAATGCTCACTCGTTCGTGCAAGCATTGCCTAATGGCTATCACACTCATGTAGGTTTGGTTGGATTTCAAGAAACCACAATTTTCACGGTAGATCTCTGAGATTAATCTTTGCAGTTTGTGATTGCAGGTTGGAGAAGGGGGGACCCAACTTTCTGGAGGCCAAAAGCAGAGAATTGCCATTGCAAGAGCAGTGTTGAGAAACCCAAAGATATTGCTTTTGGACGAGGCTACGAGTGCTCTCGATGCAGAATCAGAGTTCATTGTCCAGCAGGCACTTAATACAGTCATGTCGAATCGCACAACCATCATCGTTGCACATAGACTCTCCACGATCCGAGATGCTGACACAATCGTCGTTCTCAAAAGTGGTCGAGTCATTGAAATGGGGAATCACTTGGAACTGATGTCCAAAGATGGAGAGTATGCATCTCTTGTCAGTCTGCAAGTATCAGAAAACGCGGGGAAAAGTATGGGAGATTCTGGTTTTGCGGGGTTCCCTAGCAAGGAAAAAGATGAGAATGGGAATGGGTTTACGCCTTTCACTCCCAAGAAACTACAGCCATGTGATGATGAGAAGTCAATACTACAGACCTCATCTTTATGGGATTTACTCAAGCTAAATGCACCAGAATGGCCTTACACAGTATTTGGTTCTGTTGGTGCCATACTTGCAGGGATAGAAGCTCCTCTTTTTGCACTTGGAATCACACATGTCTTGACTGCATTCTATTCCAACAATGATTCCCAAATAAGAGACGAGATTCGCAAGGTTTCGCTTATATTTGTCGGATTAGCCCTCCTGACTGTCCCTATATACATATTGCAGCATTATTTCTATACTTTAATGGGAGAGCGCCTCACTGCTCGTGTCCGCCTGTCAATGTTCACAGGTTGGTTCTTTACCATTCCAATGACTTCCCTATATTTCCTGCCTAAATGACTAAACCCCATGTTACAAAAAAAGAGAGTTTCTGAATGTGCTGTCGTATATTGTCTTATACTGTCATATAGAAAAGGGGATACAAAGCCCTATAAATAGGTGCTAGAAGACTGAAACAAGTTTCCATATGCCTCACCTGCCTAAATCACTAAGACTGCCTGATCTATAGAGATTCCAAATAGTATATTTATATTCCATAACACCCCACATGCTGAAACCTCATTTTTTTTTCTTGCTATCTATTGCAGCTATGCTTTGCAACGAGGTCGGGTGGTTTGATAAGACTGATAATAACACGGGCTCACTTACATCAAAGTTAGCAGCAGATGCGACTTTAGTTCGTAGTGCACTTGCTGACCGCCTATCAACGATCGTGCAAAATGTAGCTCTCACCCTGACTGCTTTTCTGATATCGTTCAAACTATGTTGGCGTATTGCAGCTGTTGTGCTCTCTACTTTTCCTCTGCTCATTGGAGCTTCCATAGCTGAGGTACAGATTCTACTTATTACCTGGAAAATTCTTTCATTTGTAAGCTTCATAGATTGAAATGAGTGTTAATTCACATTATGCCAACAGCAACTCTTTCTTAGAGGATTTGGAGGGGACTACAGCAGCAGCTATTATCGCGCAACTTCTGTTGCCTGTGAGGCTATTGCTAATATACGTACTGTTGCTGCGTTTGGTGCTGAGGAGCGGATATCTGTTCAGTTCGCTTCTGAGCTAGAACGGCCAAACAAGAACGCTGTGCTGCGAGGCCACATTTCAGGGTTTGGTTATGGATTGTCACAACTATTTGCATTTGGTTCGTATGCACTTGGACTGTGGTATGCATCCGTTCTGATCAAGCAGAACGCCTCAGATTTCGGGGACATCATCAAGTCGTTTATGGTTTTGATTATCACAGCGTTGTCTGTGGCAGAAACACTGGCTTTGGCTCCAGATATTGTGAAGGGATCTCAGGCACTGAGATCAGTTTTCGATATTCTTAAGAGGGAAACAGCAATAGACCCCGACGATCCAAAAGCAAAGTCGGTGAGTGATATCAAAGGAGATGTAGAATTGAGGAATGTGTGTTTTCAGTACCCCACAAGGCCTGATATCACCATATTTGATGGGTTGAACATTGAGGTATCAAGAGGGAAGAGTCTGGCAGTGGTGGGTCCGAGTGGTTCAGGAAAGAGTACTGTGATTGGTCTCCTGATGAGATTCTATGATCCCACATCAGGTGCAGTGTTGATAGATGGGGTTGATATCAAGAGCTTAAACTTGAAGGCATTGAGGATGAATATGGGGTTGGTGCAGCAAGAGCCTGTTTTGTTCTCCACCACCATTTACGAGAACATCAAGTATGGGAACGAGAAGGCGTCTGAGATAGAGATAATGAAGGCTGCCAGAGCGGCTAATGCTCATGGTTTCATCAGTAGAATGGCTCAAGGTTACCAAACTCAGGTTGGGGAAAAGGGGGTGCAACTATCAGGGGGACAGAAACAAAGGGTGGCTATTGCCAGGGCGATTCTCAGGAACCCCGCCATCCTGCTTCTTGATGAAGCAACCAGTGCTTTGGACACTGCATCTGAGGTGCAGGTTCAAGAAGCCATTGCAAAGGTAATGGAGGGGAGAACAACAGTCCTGATAGCACATAGGTTGTCGACAATACAGGATGCTGACACCATAGCCGTGCTGCAACATGGCAGAGTGGTTGAAAAGGGAAGCCATGAGCAGCTAATTGCCAGACCTGGAAGCATGTATTCCCAGTTGGTTAAACTGCAACAGGATAAAGGTGCACCAGCGAGTGCTTGAACCACAAAGATTGCAAATTAAACTGTAATAAGATTAATATGATGCTTAAATAATTCCACTCTGTAATGGATACGAATTTTTTATCGGCTTTTCTTACATCATACACACACTTTGTAGTTGTATACACTTAACCTAACACCGCCTTTATACCGGTCAATTATAAACAATTCATTTGCCAGTTAGGATCACTACTGTTAAGGTTTACCTCCTTATAATCTTTTGCCGACTGACAAAACAGTATTCACTCAAAATACACATTTAAATAACAGTTGCAAACTTTCCCTTTTAACCAACGCTAGTAAATATTCCAATGATTGAACCTTTGCCTATCAACAGTGTAAGAACTTACACGGCGTTCTGAAATTTAATAAACATGAATACCCATTGCTCATTTGTTTAAATTTAACAACTTGATAATTCGGGATACAAATGCTCTCATATTCTTCTTATGGGACAATACACACAATTTTTTACTAAAAGCAAATGAAATTCTAGGAAAAGAAAATCTCATTTTGTTCTGTCCTTGGAGTATATGATTTTGATTTTACAAAAGCAAAAGAAATTTGCTCAAAAGATTTATTGTTTTTTACACAAATTTTGTACGCTAAGCCATCCATGGATGTTGACACTGACTCCATCAAACAATGCTCCTATGCAAAGAGGTAACCGTGGGCCATTGCATTTGGGAAATACCAGTAGTACCAACTATCATACCTTGATTGGATCATATTTGTCACCCATTGCCCCACCTTTTTGTTTTTGAAATTGAATATATCGCAACGTGCTGGCAAAGAAAGCATCTGAATCTGGATCAGCTGTTGTGCTGTCACTCTGCATCTCTGTTTTAATTAACTCAATAAGGCCTTGAATTGCAGCAGTGGTTATTTGAGGATTTCCTTTCTCAAAAAAATAGAGGTACCTGGAAAATGTAGAGAGCACATTTAGAGTATGAAAAACACTATATAAAGCATAACTCTGGGAATTCAGAATTTAAATGCAGTTTGCAGCAATAATAGTCTACTAACTTGTTAAGTATTTCAACAAATAGTGTGACGGGTCCACTGCTACCCCTTGTAACATTTGCCATCTGCTGAGCAGCATTTGCAATTCTCAAAGAACGCTTTAAACACAGCAAAACCCTGCAATGACAAGGAGAATCTCAGATATTGTTGTTTCAAGTAATACTGACACAATCGGTGCAGTGGGGGCATCAGTTCATAACAAATGATCCTTTCACAGAAGTTAATGATAAACTATTCCCAAGTTTGTATCTGATAAGAGTAAATGAGAACCAATGTACAGTTCAGGCTTACCTTTCACCATCCTTGATACCATCTTGGTCATCAACCCAAAAGAGATGTGAACAAGCATAAACTGCTCTGCATTGATCAGGTTTCTTCAGAAGTTTTGCTGAATACTAAAACACATAACAGTATCAAGCATTAGAGAGAGAAAGGAGGGGGAGTGAAATCTTAGATTATATAGTTTTACTTACCCCAGTAGCTTTATGAGTTAAGGTATCCCTGTTCTCAACACCAAATACACTCATCCTCTGAAGAGTTCCAATTATCAAGTGAATAGCAGTCACTTGTGCTTTAGAATCCTAATAATAGAAAAGGGCAAAAGGCAATCAGAAAAAAGTCACCAGATGACCCTCAAATATATTCATCCATAATGCATTCATCTGAACAATTACCGCAACTTCTTCCTCATATAGTACAAATGCTTGTGTGAAAAAGTCATAAGAGACGGGTTCAAGATCACAGTCATTGGCAGCCTGAAGATTGAGATAAATAATCAAATAATAAATTAAGTATTTCACAAAATTTGTAGTGTCAGAATGCTGCATTATATGAAAATGTTTCTATATGACCAAAAAAAAAAAAAAAAAAAACTAAGATGCATTATTAATGAAAATTAATGAAAAATACATATAACGACAAAATAATGAAGTGGGTGATGTAGTGCCATCTTCACCATAATTATACCTGTGCAGTTCATTGAGAACAAAAAGAAAATTTATACAGAGTAATTTATTTATAAGGGCTACCAAAGAAAAAATGGATGGGTTGATATCATCATAGATCTGTAAATATTGTTTTATCACACAGTTCATTCCTTAAATTCTTCACATGTTTGTACAGATGTTGAACACTATAGCTTGTCTGCTGATTCTATGGTCTGGCCCCATGTGGAATGTGGAAACATAAAACAGTTTAACTTGAATTCATCTTTTAACTTCGTGACAAAATTCCTAGATGGCTGTTTGATGCAAATATAGCAAAATATTTAGTAAATAGAGTACCTCTGCACATTGCAAGTACAACCTCAATGCCATTTCTGATGATGGAACTGCTGAGAGAACCTCAATAGTCTGGATGAAAGACAAATTAAACAAACCATTATTTTCAAAAGAAAGATAGAAAAGAGCAATGGATGAGGATTGAAACTGCAAGCCTCTTCCAACCATTTTGTCTTAAAGACAGTTAAATTTGCTCAAAGATGGATGAACAAGAAAAAAAGGTTGGAAGAAGCAAAGCTATAGCAGCATGTAGTCATTCCAGCAAAAAGCAAGAAAGTTTGCTACACTGCAGCAATTAAGTGGATTGCTTACACACATAATGAGAGATTATATAAAGAATAAGCAAATGAGCAAATAAAGATCACAGACAAATGTGCCATAGACAGTATCACACTCCAGGACCATTATTGACATAATATAACTATGTTACTTTGCAAGTGCGTTTAAGTTGAGCAATATTGCACAACAATCATGAGCTTTCCAAGTAATGTTGCCACATTTCAGTTATATTACCTGACTCAACAACTGAAAAATGTTCTTGGGTGTGGCAGGAATCTTTTCTCCAGCAACATCTCCATCCTGACCTTGCAATCTTCTAATCAACTATATGTCAAAATAGAATCCTTTAAACTGAGTTCTACTCAAAGTGACCCCTCTACTCCCCCAGATACAACAAAAACAATGATAGCAATGATCAAATCAAAGAGGCTATATGTGAAGCTGTTTCCAAAATGCTATAAACATAATTGTCCTCAGTAATGTTCTTCAGAGAGAAAAGAACATGGAACAAACCTTCAGAGCAGAACAAACTAATGGAGGAACTGTAAAGGCTAGGCGCATTGGACCTCCAGCCAAAATATGCTTTCTCACTGTGTATATTATCTGACAATATACAACAAATGAATTAACAAACAAAAAGCAGCAGGATTGATTAAAGATGTGCAGAACATTATGGATTTGACAAATAAATAGCATAACAAAAAACCAATAGAAATAGTCAAACAGATTATAAAGTACCAAGAGCAGTATACTCATTGAAAAGGAGACACATAATCTTACTACAATAGTTTCGTAACTAGAAGTTAGAATTCTAAGTGCACATCTTGTAGACATTTTCCACATACATCATGAAAGCACATTTACATGCCCCCCCCCCCCCCCCCCCCCCCCCCCCCCGCACCCGATTGAAGCACATTTATTTTCAACATATACTTTGAAAACACCATGACATGGAATGAATACACATTCAATTGTCCAAAAAATGGCTGTAGTCAATATTAGAATGCTAAGATGGATGAGTAAGACTAAAGTAGAAATTACAAATGAATGCACTAGGTGCATTTTGGTTTGCTTTTCATGCTTTTGAAACCAATCTCTGCACCATGACCATCATTCCCATTGCAGAAATAGAACAACTTTTTAGAAGAAGAAGAAAAAAAAATAATTACCTTTAGCATCTCTTCTGAATCATCATTATACAGCATGTGTATTAGTCTAGCAACAGAATTTTGTTCCTCCTTGAAATCTTCCTCATCAAACTATCAGTCAACACAGTGCCAACATAAAATCAAGAAGTCATTTATTCAGAGCAACTAATCAGAACATTAACATTACAAACTGGTGTGGGAAGGCATAAATGAACTGGGACTGATTTGAGAAAAGTGCTATAAATAGCAATGACAGGAAAACCAAGGAATTCAATTTGAAGAAATAATTAATGTGCACCTCATCTGTAGTACTTTCATCCAAATCTTTGATGAGCCCCTTTATCAATTCAAACAAAACCTCAACCTGAAAAAGGAAGACAAATCCAGCTGCTGTGACATTGGTCAAAAGCAACTTAAACAAAAGTAAATCAGTGGCAGTACCTTGTCAGCAGTAGAAACACAGGTATCCCTTTTCATAATGTTTTCAATTATAATTTTTGCCATAATTTTATTTGTTCCAGCATCAAGGTGATCCATAACTCGTGGATAGTTGGAGAGTGTTAGAGCTGTGACAATATCACTATATTTCTCTAGTGGAGCACTGAGGAGAGCAACAATTTGTTTTGTTGCTTTACTATCTTCAAGCTTTGGATTGCCAGAGAGTTTCTTAACACAAGCTCCCTGCCAAAAATAGAAGCACAGACAAAATGAGAAAAATCAGTTTATGGAATGACAGGAATGAAAAATGTTTTGAATGGATTCATACACATTTAGAGGAATTTATTTATGGATAGAATAGATTCCTTATGACAATAATGTCTTTGTACCATCATTTGGCCAAACCAGTTTTTATTTTTACTTTTTGGTGAATTCTTCCTTACTAGAATAAAATATAAAATATATAGGAAAATCTATATCACAACTCCAAGTCTCACTTTGAAAATAACCTTTAATGGCTTTTTTCCAACTGAATTATATTATAAAATGTTGCTCAGCTTTGCATGAATGTAAATAAACGACAGGGGTAATAAAAACACAATGCTATGGTACTATGCATTGGCATTATAGCCGTTAAAGGTATGAGAGCTGGCATTGACTTCACACCAACTACTGACCTAAACTTTTTTTCATCAAAGAGAATGAAACTTACCAGTACTTGATCCACATAATCAAGCCGATCAGGATGTACACGAAGTGTAAAAGTCAGAAGGGAGACATATAACGAAACAGCTCCAACAATAGGCATGTCAACTTGTGCTTCTATTACCTGCCATTAACATTATGTAATTCACCTTGCATAGCACCATGTGTCCATGTGTGTGAGTGTGTGTATATAAATTCAATAAATCAAGATCTGGTTTACCTTCCAAATGGCACTGCTTAACTTGGCAAATGCTTCTACTTGAAGGAAGTCTGGTAAGATCTAACAAGTCCAGTATATAGAAAGAGAAGAAAAAAAATTACAAATGATTAATGAGTAAAACCTCGTAGCAGGAGCCATGAGAGAAAACACTCACTTCTGGACTTGAAGCAGCATAGTTTGACAATCTATCCATCAAGCGTGATAAAACGGTCTTGATGTCAACAGTAGGCTATATAGTAAAAGAGATATGGCATTATAAGTCTTATTGTAGGAAAGTTGTTAATAACTACATTAAATCTATAGAACAGTTCAGATATAAATGATAATATGCTACATACTTGAAGCTGGGGGCAAGCACCCAATAGTATTTCAAGAGTCTGCAAATGGTACTCGTCGGGAAAGACCTGAATTATGCAGTCCATCAAATAATATTGTGCAAGCTCATCTTTACAGTTGACAACCTGTGAGAAGCATTTCAATGGCATCTTATACATGACAAAATTGCATATTATGGCTTTCTATCACACGGAAAATTTGAATTGCATAATCATACCTGCTCAAGTACTCGAGGAAGCACAGTCTCTTTGTATATTTCAAGGTCAACACCCTCTATCTGACTAAGGACATGCAAATTCTTCCCAACCTAAAATATGATTCGAACAGCTGAATCTCTTTACAGAAATCAAACGAGCGGGATCAAATCAGAAAATTTCAATTGCATTGGGTCACAGATATTACGAGATCACGAAGCTCGCTCCTTTCCTTTTCCAGCTTCTCTTCAGTCCTGGCAGGTCCCTGCAGACCAGAAAGCCCGAAAGAGGGTCTGAACTCAGGATCACCTAAGCAAATGAATGTATCACAAGCACTATAACACCTGCATGGCCAAAACATGCTTTCATGATTCATTTTTATCTTCCTAGCATGCAATTATGCAGATGCCATGCATGTCAAATGTGAAATCAGCTTAGAGTTTGACAAGATCTCCACTACCTGGTGTTGCATTCTAACCCATAGCTTATTCATTTCTGTGAAATTTTGCAACACAAAATCTACAGCATCCATGACAGTATCAGCTTCTCTGTGTGAAGAACAGTGAAGTAAACAAATAAAATTCTCTCTCTAGGGCATTATAATGAATTGGAAAGCAAGAATGAGACACTAGAATAAATCTGTCAGAGTTGATCGATTTAGAGGAAATTCAAATACAGCCAAGTTATGGCAACATAGAAAAATAAGACAGGCAGATGCTTTACCCTTCATACTCAGAACCAATATCTGGTAATTTATCTCTGCTAATTTGAGCAAGATAGCTCCTCAAGAAAAGTCCACGTATAGGATGTTGAACAGAACGACACATTTCAACTAGGTCTTTGAGTATATCCTTTGCAGGAGCCTCCTTTGATTTGATGTAAACTGAACCAACAGTACATAGGAGGTACCTGATATAATGCAGCGTATAACTAACTTCATAAGCTCCAGCAAATTACATGAAATCAGATTCCTAAAGTAGCATGAATCCAGCAAAGTTGGTTTGTCAAATGGGTTTTTATATTTTGCTGCGTTAAGATAAGGCAATGACTCCTACATTTTGTTCTCCCATAACCCATTGCAATTTCCAAGCACTTACGGTACAAGATAAAGAACAAATTACATAACATGATCAGTAATGAATTACAGGCCATAAGAAATACAGCACAAGATGCATGATGATATCTTTCCCATCTAATGCTATTTCAAGTCTTATATGTTCAGATAAATAGTAAATGATTCCGAAACACTTAGCTCAGTCACATTTGTTAAAAAATTCATAATGGATATTAAGACATATAAGATAGGGAGAATGCGGAAAAAAAGTACTGAACACTTGATGAGACTTACAGTCTAGGTAAAACGTTGCCAGCATGTTGGACAAGTTCATACAGGTCAACAACTGGACAACCATGGCGATCCTCGTCCCTAAAGAACAGCTCCAGCCTCCTCAACTCATCAAATGCTCGCATGTCTACCAATAGCATATAAAAAAACACAAAATATATAATTCCAAAACATAAAACGAAAACAAAACACAAAGAAACAGCTGAACAATGGATTTTACAGAGCTCGTAGTATTTATGCGGCGAAAGCCTCGAAGTTCGCAGCTCAGACAAAAGCTGAGCTGAGAACTTAAGAGCTTCTCTTAGATTATTCGCGTCCTGAAATGGAGTGAACCGGAAAATTGGTGTTAGTTAGAGCAGTTAGGGTTTTGCAAATGATGATAAACTGAAATTATAATTGATACCATAGCTTGATGCAAATAGAATGCGTTGTGCTGAATGCCTGCGATGCCTTCCGCCAGCCATTTATCTTCGTCTTCGATTCCGGCGGCAATCATTCTCTCTCGGCCTGTCAGTCCCTCCGGTCTCAACTTCTGCGATTCAGTTTCAACTGGTGACACCTCATCAAGCCGTGTGTTACTAACTCATGTGGAACCTACCGGTTCATAACCAATAATGAGTGCTTATATTATTTTACTAAAATTTAAATAAACAATTAAAATAAATAATCGTACAATATGTACTCCACAATTTTTTATTTTTATTTTTTTAATAATGAATCTAAAGTTTTTTTATGTATGCACGAATATCAATTTTGGTCTCACAAGTATATAACAAAATGTTAATTTTGATTCACATGTTTAATTTATAAATATTATTTTAATATCAAAATTTATTATACCGATCACCCCTTCATTTAAGACATTCAGATCGGACGAAGGAAGGGACAGCCATAGCGACCTCCATCCTCGTTCAAGACGACGGTGGGGACTGACATGGTTGCCCCACCCTTCATCCACATGCTACTTCCACCTTTTTCTTAAATTTAAAAAAAAAAAATTTAAATAATAATTAAAATACTTTATATATATATATATATATATATATATATATATATATATATATATATATATATAAATTGACATTATGACATTAATTATATTTAAGGGGAACTTGAAAGTAACATGTAAAAAATGATATTTACACAATTATTTGAGTTTTAAATGATCCAATTGTATAGGGATGTCAACGGGTCGGGGTGGGGGCGGGGGACATACCCCCATCCCCGCCCCCGACTTTTTTCTCATTCCCCGTCCCCGTCCCCGTCCCCGCCGAGAAATGGAAATCTCCCCCCATCCCCATCCCCACGGGGATTATTCGGGGACGGGGAATCCCCAACCCATTAATAAGTTATAAAAAAAAATTAAAAATTAAAATTCATAAACGTATATATATATTCATCCCCAATTTAAAATAGTATTCAATATTTTACAATTAAACATGCTATTTAAATATGTATTTCATAAGCATGACAAACAATGACAATAATGCTTCTAAAATTATATATATTGTATACAAAGTAATATACATGTGTGTGTACTCCCAATACATACATACATACATCGGGGACGGGGCGAGGCGGGGAGAGTACTCCCCATCTCCGTCCCCGTCCCCGGCGGGGAATTCAAAATTGCCCCCATCCCCATCCCCGACCCCCTATTTCTATCCCCATCCCCGTCCCCATGGGGCGGGGAGGGGAATCGGGTTCCCCGTCGGGTGCGGATACAATTGACATCCCTACAATTGTACACTTTTTTCAATGATTTAAATGCACAATGTGTAAATGTTCAGTGGTCTATTTAACACTTTTTCCGTTGTTTACAAGTACAAAAATAATTTATTGCACATATAAAATGTATATCAATTGAAGATACTAAATTTGGAAGTTATCTTTGAACTATGATCCACAATACAAGATAGACCATAATTCATGGAATAATTTGTCGATCCTTATACCATGGACCAAGGGGTTCATAGTACATTTGTGTGTATTTTATGTTATGAGTTTTTGTGTCTTGTGTTGTGAAAGTATATATATATAAGTACAAATTGTGTACCTATATCAAATTTGAAAAATAAGTAAATATATATAACACGTGTATGTGTCTTGTATTGTGATTTGTTGTGTCTTGTGTTATGCAAGTATGTACCTTACGAGTATGAATTCTATACCTCATTATTTTGATTCATGGTCCATGTGTATGTGTATGTGTTTTATGTTGTGAGTTTTTGTATATTGTGCCAATAAATTCTGTACCTTAAAGAGTATGAATTTTGTACCTGAAACAAATTAGTAGTTGTCTTACTGTGTCTTGTATTGTGAAATTCTATACCGATGAATATAAATTTGAAAAATAAGTAAACATATAGCATGTGTATGTGTCTTGTATTGTATTTTTTTTTTTTGTATCTTATGTTATAATATTATGTACATTATATAACTTATAAGTATGAATTATGTATCTCGTCGTTTTGATTAAAGGTCCACAATACTACGTGGACCCTATTCCATTTAAATTGCCATAATTTGTCATGTGCAATAGTTGGGCTTCAAGAGATGCCCAGAACTCCGGAGCAAATTCGGCCCAAATTCTCTGATCACGTGGCAAATCATAAAACCCTCTCAAAACCCCCAAACGAGTAGCTACGAAGCTGCCAGCATCTCAAAATTCTAGACGTTCAACTAACTCAGATCTCCGGGAATGAGGAGGCTAAGTGGACTCGCCGCCATATTCCAAGCCGCCAAGGGCGTTGGCGCCGTTCCGGCGAGAACCGCCGAGTACCGGATGGTCCAGTCGGCTCTGTACAGCACCGGCAACAATTCCTCCGTCATGTCACATGTGTTATCCCATACTAAGCACGATGATCAGTCATCTCGAGCCGCTGCTCGCGTCGTCTCCGGTACAATGCTTTTTTCCGTTGCCGCTTCCACGTTGGCCGGAGAAGCTCACGCCAAAGAGCCGATCCCACCCAAATTCCGCCCCAACGATGTTGTTCTTTATCAGTATGAAGCTTGTCCTTTCTGTAACAAGGTTAAAGGTATTCATTTACTCGTAATTTTAGTCTTCCCCAGTTAGTTTACTCCAATTTCATTAGTATGTGGCCAAATTCAGCTGTACTTCGATTATCATTTTCTATGTTCAATTAGAATATTATGCAAGTATCTATTGAAATCAGCATACTGGGAAACTAACTACTGAACCTGAATTGTAGGAAAAAATTTAATTTGATTAGGGGTGTTTATATGCTTACTCGATCTGCAACTCTAACTTTGCCTGTTGGTCTGCTTTTCTCAGCGTTCCTTGATTATTACGACATTCCATACAAAATTGTAGAGGTTAATCCAATTAGCAAAAACGAAATCAAGTGGTCAGATTACAAGAAAGTGCCTATCTTGATGGTTGATGGTGAACAGATGGTGGATTCATCAGGTCCTTTTTTAATCATATAGTACCATACTACCATATTACCTTACCTTAAAAAGTTCTCATTTTCATGAAGTGAATTGGTTTAGGGCTTTTAAATAACCAGGAACATATTTGTAGGATCTAGCCTATTGTTTGGTTAACTTTCCAAGCTTGCTGTTCTTATTGGATGCAGATATAGTTGATAAATTGTTCCAAAAGGTTTGCCCACAGGTTGCTGCTAAATCTACTTCAGACAATGATGAAGAGAATAAGTGGCGCAAGTAAGCACATATTTTCCTCATTTCAGATAATGAAAAATGGTTTCACAAGTCCTTGTTCAACCTTCTTAGCTGACTATATTGAAATTTCAAAGTCTATTTGTGATACCCTGTTTAGGAAGTAGTACAATGAAATAATGGAGGTTTTCATGAACTTAGGTGGGTGGATAATCACTTGGTGCACATCTTATCTCCTAATATATATAGAAGTGCTTCTGAAGCTTTGGAATCATTTGACTACATTACCACTCAAGGTAAGATTGCACATTACTATTTGTTGTATATATGACGTAAAGAGATCCCTTGTAAAAATTTCAGAAGGAATCTCTTGATGAGAATTCTCCCTGCTCTAGGATTAAAATATGATTTTGATTATAACTTCTCTGCTGCCATCTGTTTTACTCCTCTGCAACTCATTAATACTTTAGTGAGAATTTTTGGAATTGATTTCATAAGTTGGTGCTTACTGTGAAATATAAGTACACTGAAATGCAGATGTATGGGTACGGGTGACTATGGGCTATGTGTTCTGTTAAGCTAGGTTTAGTTAACAACATATCATGTAACTGATAGACATGCTTTTCTTTTTAATCATTTTCCCAATATTGACTGCTAGTCAGTATAGATGCTCCTATTTTGCTGTCTTTGGTTCTTTTAAAAGCTATATTTTCATGGGAAGCTTTTGGTGTTCTAAGATTTCACTTCAAGATCTATATAGTATGCCCCCCTTAGATGAGTGGTATGATGACTCAGTTTTCTTTATATCCAAGCATGTTCACTTGTGCTTGCTTCCGTGTGAAGGTAATTTCAGCTTCTATGAGAGAACAGTTGCAAAGTATGCAGGAGCTACAGCCATGTATTTTGTATCCAAGAAATTGAAGAAAAAATATAACATCACTGATGAGCGTGCAGCATTATATGAAGCAGCAGAAACATGGGTTGATGCTTTGAATGGCCGAGACTTTCTAGGTAACTTTATTCCTATTTCCTATATTCTTACATCGTCTGTTTTCATTGATGCTTAGTTTCTTGCAATACCGTGTACTCTGATTAACAGGTGGATCTAAACCAAATTTAGCTGATCTTGCTGTGTTTGGCGTTTTGAGACCTATCCGCAACCTGAAATCTGGTAAAGACATGGTGGCGAACACACGCATTGGTGATTGGTACTCTAGAATGGAAGGTGCTGTTGGCCAACCTTCAAAAGTTCAGGCATAACTGAACTTACCCCTACCCCTATCTGATGCAAAAAAGAGTTGTATTAACAACAATTTTTTTAAAATGCCCAAATTACACTTTAGGTGTCTCCCCTGCATATTGTTTTGTCCACTCTTTCCAGAAGATGGTTTACTGAAGATTCTTTCATGCGATACATGGAAACCATTGTATGCTTATTTTGCTATTGTTGAATTGGACTTTGTACTCTTTTTAAGCGCAGTCTTAATAAAGATATTTTAGTATGGTGGGTATTGGTCTGGCTGCTATGTGTGTACAAGGGACAATGCCTCAGCACCTTAGATTACAATTGCTATTTGCTCCGAACTTTCCGTTTGGCACCTGAAATTCCTATGCTATGGACAGTGGGTCCTTAAATTTAAACTTATACTTTTGGACCCATAATTTTATTCGGCCATTGCCTAATCCCAAAGCTGTAAAAATTGAGGTAACTAACTCTTAGAATCAGATTGTTAATTTGGTAATTACAAATTTTTGTGGCTTTTTATCAGTCAGGATTACAATGTATGATTTATTTTATGCATACTTAAAAATAAAGATGTGAAATAAAATGTTAAAGAAAAATGTGTCATTTTCGGAGATGGCCGTTTTCGCATTCAAGTCTAACCAGTCTCCTCCTATATGAAAGTGCTGTCACAAGATCTCCATCTGCGCGCATCTTTCTCTTTACCAAAAACT